CAAAGATGAAGTTGAACAGTAACAAAGCTACAATCACACAGAGGAAAAACTACCTCACCCAGATTTGTCCTGAGTGGCTGAAGAAGTATGTGAACTATGGGAGGAGCTCTCTGATGAGGACAGGTAAAATCTATGACCAGAATTAGATTGTTAACCAAAAGTTATATGTCTCAGTTTATTACCTCAGAGTATTTTTATTCATCTTAAGGCATGAAAAAAAAATTTTGAACTTCATTTTTTTAAACATATACTTTTCATTTCCAAAGAGTATTTTTACATGTCCACTTAGTTGTACAACAAACATTTTGACTTATGAATTAGACAAATGAATAATTGTGTAAAAACTAACATAACAAAAATATATTTTAAAATATATTTTATATCAATATAACAATATATGTAACAACTATAACAACTATAACCCTGCCTATGGAGTGACTCATCAGTGTCCAATGTAGTGGTTTATGTGCAAGTTTACCATCAACACTGACACAAATACAAGAAAACAGCCTTTGAATAGTGAATTGAATACTGTAGTGACCCCTATGTGTGAAAGGGTTAATATAATTGCACTTCGTGTGACATTTTGACACATTTTTAAAATTTAATTTAATTCAATAAACTACATCACATCAAAAGAAATTGGTATGGTTTTAATAATATTAATAATAATAATAATAACAATAATAATAATCATAAAAATAATCATAATCATCTTTTAAAGTTGCTCCTGGTCGTCATAGCAGATCATCTTCCACAGTTTTAGCTCTGATATACTCATTTCTAATCCTTCTCACTCTTTATGATAATTTTAATATCTCTCCAGTTCGTCCCTCAGTGTCTCTCCTCCAGAAGTCTTCCTCCTCTCCAGTCACCTGCCACGCTACAGGTTTCTATCCTAACAGAGCTGAGATGGTCTGGAAAAGAGATGGAGTGGAGCTTCATCAGGGTGTGAACAAAGGAGAGATTCTCACCAACAATGACGGGACCTTCCAGATGAGTGTTGACCTGGATGTCTCATCAGTGAAACCTGAAGACTGGGACAGATACAGATGTGTGTTTCAGCTCTCTGGTGTGAACGAGGACATCGTCATCAGACTGCCGGGTGGAGGTAAATCAGAATGAGATGAGTGATGAACATGGGAAACACACACTTAAATTACTGCAATAGCCCTGTGGTTCATGTTGGATGAGAAAGTTTGTTTGCTTTGATATTCTTTCTGTCAGCTTCTGTCAGAATAATTTTAAGACCTAAATCAGTTTGGACCAAGTTGTGTTTTTCCACCACATTTTTTCCTTGCTGAACATTGATGAATATAAAACATGTTCATGTGTGGCCACTGATTATCTGACTAATGGACAGTTTTAGAAGATTAAATAGTAAATGGGGGAAAATGTATATTTTGAAACATATGTTCAAATTTATTGGCAATGTATTGAAATT